GCCACAATGTGAACAGGAGCAGCCCCTCACCCGCGTACCTCTTGCCAGATGTGAGAATGAATGTGCGCGTCGCAGGAGCGAGAGCCTTGTTGAACACTACTCCGACGCACGGACTCCGCCTCTGGGATTGTCCTCCTGCCTCCTCCTTCTCCTCGTGCCTGCTCCTCCGTCTCCATCATCTCCTGCCTCCTCCTTCTGCCCCCTCCTGCCTCCTCATCCTGCCTCTTTCTCCTCCCCATCCTCCTCCCCCTCCTCATCCTCCTCCTCGTCCATAATTATGCTGCCTCCGTCTCCTCCTCCTGCCTCCCCCTCCCCGTCCTTCCCCTCATCCTCCTCCCCTGCTCCTCACAATGCCTCCTCCTCCTCCTCCTCCTCCTCCTCCTCCTCCTCCTCCTCCCCCTGCTTCTCCTCCTAATTGTGCCTCCTCCTCCTCTTCCTCCTCCGCCCTCCTCTTCTTTCTCCTCCTCTGCCCTCCTCCTTCCCCTCTTCCTTCTCATCTTGCCACCTCTTCCTTCTCCACCTCATCATCGTGCCTTCTTGCCCTCGTCCTCCTCGTCCTCGCCCTCGCCCTCGCCCTAACCCTCGTCGTCGTCGTCGTCTTCGTCGTCGTCTTTGTCGTCTTCGTCGTCGATGTTCACGTCCTCCTCCTCCTCCTCCTCCTCCTCCTCCTCCTCCTCCTCCTCCTCCTCCTCCTCCTCCTCTTCCCTCGTCCTCATGCATCCTCCTGGGACCTCTTGCCTCCTCCCGGGGCCTTATGTTGCCCCGGGGAGCCTCCTGGGGCGCCCGCTGGACTCCTGGGGAACTCCTGGGCCCCTCAGACACTCCTGGGTAGCTCCAGGGCCTCCTGGGGCTTCCTGGGGGGGCCCCCTCCCCCTGGGGGGCCTCCTGGAGCTTCCTGTGGCCCCAGGAAGCCCCCCGAGGCTTCTCGCAGCCTTCCGAGGGCGCTCCGAGGGCCCCCCAGCTCGAGCCCTCCCCGCTCGAGCCCGCCCAAGGACGGGGCTCCCGCTCGAGGCTCTCGCGACACTTGCAGACGAGGCTGCCAGTCGAGACGTCGAGGTTCAGTCCTCAGGAGCCCAGAGGTGACAACGGTCAAACGACGTTGATGACCAGCTCGGATTACGGACATGAAGTGCGGACACAAATTCTGTCCTTAAGAGCCCAAGCGTGAGGACAGTCACAGGACTTGGACGACCCGCTCGGGGATTGCTAGCGTGAGGTGCGGGCCTCATATGGAGGGGTTCCCGCTCGAGACGTCCTCGCGATTCACTCACAAACGAAGCCCCCACTCGATGCGTCCTCAAATGTCAGTCCTCAAGAACCCCACCATGACGGCAAGTACCGGATGTTGATGACCCGCTGTGCTTACTGACACGACGTGCGGGTCCCAGGAGGGGCTCCCGCTCGAGACTTCCTCGCGACTCACTCACGCGCGAGGCTCCCGCTCGAGACTGCCTCAAATCGGAGTCCCCAGGAGTCCAAGACTGCTAACCTCTACAGGTATCGGAGGACCCGCTCAGGGACTGCTAACATGAAGTGTGGGCCCGCCAGAGAGGGGATCCCGCTCGAGGCTCTCTCACGATGTACTCGTAGACGAGGCTCCGTCTCGAAACGTCCCTCCTATTCAAGCTTGAGGAACTCACGCTCGCGGCGGGATGGGCCGAAGGCCATGATATCAAATGACTGCGGGGCGGAGGAGGGGCATCAAGAGATAGGAAGCGGACGAGCCTTGCTCTTCTTCCGCCACCACTGGTCCTGTTTTTGGCCATGACAAAATGCCGACCCAAAACAATTGCTCCTGCATCTGTCATCCGTGTGAGAACCGTCGCATTGCCACTAAACTCGTGCAACGGTGCAGGCATAGAGGAGGAGGAGGAGGAGGAGGAGGAGGAGGAGGAGGAGAAAGAGGAGGAGAAAGAGGAGGAGAAAGAGGAGAAGGAGGAGGAAACGCACCATGCCGACAAGACAGATTTGGGCTGCAGGTTTCCGAGCCCATCCTACGCGCTTAGATGATTTGACTCCGCCACCACTGGTCCTTCTCCATCATCGCCCGTCGCCGCCCTCATCCTGATTCCCCCCGCTTATTCTCCCTCATACTGCTCACTGCTTCCACACTCCTCCCCCGCCCCCCTCGTGTCCCCGCCCCCCTCCTCCTCGTCGTGCTTCTCCTCCTCCTCCTCCTCCTCCTCCTCCTCCTCCTCATACTCCTCCTCCCCCCATCCCCCCTTTCCTCCACCTCCTTCCGAGGAGGGGATCACCTGAAGGAAGAGGAGGCGGGGGAAGGGAGGGGGGAAGAGGATGACAAAGGGGAGCGACGGAGAGCAGCCGGGAGGAGGAGCAGGAGGGGGGGGGGGGCAGGACGAGGAGAGGACGGAGACGAGAAAGAGAGACAGAGGAGGGAGGAGCGAGGAGCGAGAGAAAGAGAGAGAGAGGAGGGAGGAGCGGGGAGGAGGAATACAGACAAGGGAAAGGGGAGCAGCAGGGAAGCCGCTCGCGGGGCGGCCTCCACCTGCTCCAGCGTGCTGCCGTCCACGGCGTCCACCTGCCGCGGGTGCGGCTCCGGCCGGAGGGTCTGGCCGACGGATGCCGTCGTCTTCGTCGCCGACGACGGCGTCCCCCTCCTCCTCCTCCTCCTCCTCCTCCTCCTCCTCCTCCTCCTCCTCCTCCTGAGGGGGGCGCTCTGGCCCTGGCCAAGATCAGGAGATCACCACAGGCCTGGCTGCCTGCACCTCGTCCGACGGGGGCCATTCCGAGCAGCCTGGTGCCCTTCTCGAGGACATTCGGCACTCTCCTGTGCCCGTCGGTCGGAAGAAACGTGTAGAACCATCATCATCATACTCAGCATCAACATCAGCATCAGCATCAGTATCATCAGCATCATCAGCCTCCTCCTCCTCCTCCTCCTCCTCCTCCTCATCATCATCATCATCATCATCATCACCATCACCATCACCATCGCCATCATCACCATCATCACCACTATCATCATCATCATCATCATCACCACCATCATCATCATCACCATCATCATCATCATCATCGGCATCATCATCATCAGCATCATCATCATCAGGAGCATCATCATCAGCATCAGCATCAGCACCATCATCAGCACCAGCATCACCATCATCATCAGCATCATCATCATCACCATCACCATCGCCATCACCATCATCACCATCACCATCCTCATCCTCATCCTTCATCATCATCAACATCATCAGCACCATCATCGCAATCAGCATCGTCCTCATCAGCATCAGCATCTGCATCAGCATCAACATCATCGTCATCCGCATCATAATTAGCATCGTCAGCATCAGCATCAGCATCATCGTCATCATCAGTGCCCGTCGGACGGAAGAAGCGGGCAGCAACATGACGCAGAAGGCTTCGGACGTAGATCGGGCACCCGCCCGCCCCCCGACGAGGAGGGACGAAGGAAGCAGGAAGGGGAGTAGGAAGGCGCCTAGAACGAAGATCGGGATTTGGAAGCTCAGGGATACCCAGTTACGACGACCGACGCGCGCTGCCTAGGCGGTGGACCAGTCATGCCCCGAGATACATGACCCCTGACGAGAAGGAAACAGGAGGAACTTCTCGACCCCTGAAGTGGGAATGCGCCCAAAGTAGATGAGGACCTGGGAGTTCAGGAATACCCCATGTCAACGACGGACGGGTCGCATGCAGGCGGTGTGTCGGTAGAATTCTCCGAGATCCACAGCCCCCACCAAGACCTTTATCGGAACATCCCGCCACCTCGCACCAAGCGCTCGCACCCTCTCCTCCCCTCCTCCCCGCTGCTGCTCCTCCTCGTTCTCCTCCTCCCTGCTCATCCGCCCTCCTCCTCCTCCTCCTCCTCCTCCTCATCCTCCTCCTCCCCCCCCTCCTCACTAACCTTGTGCCGATGATAAAAAAGGACCCCCCCTTTCCAGGTTAGAGTTGATTATCCACGGCCAAGAAGAGTTTGGTCAGGGGCGCGGGGCGCGGAGGCCGAACTTTTTTATCACTGTGAAAAGTTCACCATTGATGTTAACTTCCTTCTTATGTCGAGATAGCAACATCAAACGAAGCGAAGACGTTGTCGAGGATGTCTCAAGCGAAACCAACATTTTTTGGAGGCAGCCTCGAGCGAAACGATCAATTTTTCAAGGATGTCTCAAGCGGAACCAACAATTCTTCGATGATCTCGATCCTCGACTCTGTGATCTCGATCCTCGATCCTCGGACTTCGATTCTCGATCCTCGATCCTCGGCTTTCGGTCCTCTTAACATCATCTCTTTCTCCTCCCACATGCTGGCCTCCGGTAGGCAACATTTATAATCCCCTCGCGACCCCGAACTTTCTTATCCCTGTGGGATTAATCTCCGTGGTGTTCGGTTACTCTTCTCGATTCTGTTGCAGGATCTCCCTGGACGGCGACTCCCAGATGCAGGCCCAGGCCAGACGAGGGCAGCTTGGAAGTGGTGATCACTGCGGCACGCTGTTAGAGCTGGAGGTCGCTTCGCGACTGGCTGCCATCAGCCGCAGAATCGCACATGCGTCCGACTGGGGAACATCACCCTGCTGAATCCAATGCTCTTGCTCGTTCTTTCGAAAAAGTGTGATATCATCGTGGGCGGCGTTCGGTCTAGGCAGCCAACCTGCGCGCGCCTGTGGAGGCACGTCTGGCGAGCAGGCATCCTGGCCAGGGACGTGCTGTGGCTCGAGCTTGCAGAAGGACAACGACTGAGTAGTGTGTTACTCCTCCTCCTCCTCCTCCTCCTCCTCCTCCTCTTCCTCCTCCTCCTCCGCGCAGATCCAAGAGATCTGCGCTGACCCTTCGCAAATTCATGCCATGCCGTATTGTGCCGCTTTCGAACATCGGGCTTGCACGTCCCCCGGCACGGTCCTCAAGGTCTCGGAGGCCGCACTGTGGTGGGGGGGGGAGCGACCGCCGATCTTCCGGGCGGGGCGACACCAATGCTCGCACCGTCTAAGCGTCTTATGATTCCGACGGGGGTCACGGAAAGGCAGCCGATCTCGTCAAGGAGAGATGTTTGTTTCTGGCATTGAAGGAAGGTTTGGCTTATGGTATGAGTGGTGACTTCAACATGTGCCATTCTGCGGAACGCAGGCTGGGCACTTGGAGTGCTGTTCTGGGAAGGTAGTCTCCGCTACGGAGCTTCCCGCGTGTTCTAAAACCTATCGGTATTGGTATGCACATGTCCTGGTATCGAGCGAGCTGGCCACTCGCATCCAACGGGCTGACCACACGCATTGAGTCAGCCGACCTTAGTGGGGACAGCCGTCTCCCTCCGCACTTTACAGTTGATTTGACATCTCATCCTGCTCCCTGTCAGCTGCATCCATTTGGCTTTTGCAAGCCTCCGCCGCTCTCGGTGGATGCTCTTCCAGGTGCGGCGAGTCGTCCAGGTGGCTTTCCTGCTGGCCGCGCTGATCTGGCTCGTTGCGAGAAGGGGAGCGGATCGATAAGCTGTCAACAAGGTCCTCCTCCTCGTCCTCCTCCTCCTCCTCGTCCTCCTCCTCCTCCTCCTCCTCACCCCCCTCTTCCTTGCACTCCTGCTCATCCTGCTCCTCCTGCTCCCAGTCCTCCTGCTGCTGCTGCTGCTCCTCCTCCTCCCCCCCTCCTGCTCGTCAAGCCCTCCTCGCCCTCCTCGCCCCCTCCTCCTCCGCCGCAGGAGGCGAGGAAACGGGGCCGAGAGGGGATGGGAGCGGAGCAGCGGGGGGGCCGAGGGGCGGACCGGGGGGCAGAGGGTGGCGGGCAGGAGCGAGGCGGGGGCGGGAGGGCGGGGGGGGTGAGCGCGCGCGGGAGCGAAAGCCCCGGCGGGCAGGGGAGGCGAGGCGAGGAGGCACGAGAGCACGCGGCGGGGGCAGTGGCTCGCTGTGGGACGCTTCGGCAAGCAGGGCAGCGTGCACAGAGGAGGAGGAGGAGGAGGAGGAGGAGGAGGAGGAGGAGGAGGGAGAAAGGGAGAAGAGGAGGAGGAGGAGGAGGAGGAGGAGGAGCAGGGAGAAAGGGAGAGGCAGGAACCAATTCTGGCACCTGCGACCGCACAAAGGAGGGGATGAGGAACCCAGGGTCTGAAGGCCATGCAGAGCACCAATTGTGACTGGGCCATGGCTATCACCGCCGCCCTCATCAGATGAGGAATCCTCCATGGTCTGAAGCCTCCTCTCGCCATTGCTCGGATAATCACTCCCCGTGCATTGTTCGGCTTCGTGCGTGCTTTGGTGTTTTCTTGGGGGGGTGGGGGGCAAGATGATCCTGGATGCTTCTCGATGGCTCTTGCCAACAAAAAATGCACTCGTCCGAGCGATGCCAAGACCTAGGCGCATTTTTCCACGACCGCCCCCCCGCCGTACGTGCCGTTCGGCCCTTGATGTAGGAGGGCGCCCAGAAAGTATAGTGGGATCTGGGGGTCAAAAAACACCTACGCTCAACGACCGGCGTGCAATGGAGGGGAGTAAAAAATCTGGGGGGGGGAGGCGGGCCAAGAACCGTGCACCTTCTGTGCCCCTCTTGGGCCCCAGGGGCCCAGGGGGGGGCCCTTCAGGGCCCCTGAGGTGCACCCTTCCTCACCCGCCGACTTGTCGCGCCCCCATGACCGCATGAAGAAACTACCCACAAACTTTTGGGGCTCCGCGCGGAGTTCTTGAATCGGCACTGGGCCCGCCAGCGCCAGAGGTGCCGCCAGGGGGTCCCAGGCGCCGACCCCAGGAACCCGCGCAGAGCGCCGAAACATCATGCTTATGCATCTTTGTCTTCTTCGCCATCTGCCGCCCCCCCGAAGCATCGGCGACTCCGGCGCTGCATCGGCGACGTCGGCCTGAAGAAGAAAATCGGGCTCCACACCGAGCCGCATCGCCGATGCATCGGCGATGCTGCGCGGATCCTCCGGCCCCATCTGCGCCCCCAGAGGTCCGATGCGGAGGAGGAGAGGAGGAGGAGGAGGAGGAGGAGGAGGAGGAGGAGGATGATGAGGGAGGAGGATCGAGGTGGGAGGACTGCGAGAATGACAGGAGTAGGAGGAGGAGGAGGAGCAGGAGGAAGAGGGGGAGGAAGAGGGGGAGGAGGAGGTCCGACGCTCCAATAAACATGGAGCGGCGGGTTTGGGGCAATCTTTGGCCTCGGGGGGCCTTGACCAGACCCTGGGTCCGTCAAGAAACCTCACATAACAAACAATTGGTCGTCCTGGGGAAGTGGTCTCGCTCGCCCTCCTGCTCCACCTCCTCCTCCTCCTCCTCGT